GACAAGAGTTCCACAAATAAAAAAAATTCTTCTGAGACTTTCATGAAGCAAAGAATACATAAAGATACAAGTTGATCAGATAGTTCTTCAGAAATGCAAGCTTGATAGCATAAGTTGCTACACTGATATCTAGAGGTAATCCTGGCAATAAATGATGAAGTGAAGGAAGACCAAGTTCACCACTTTGAAGTCAAATGAAGATTGCATCAACATTCATGCATTCATAAGAACATCATTTGCACAATAGACAATGCATTACATTGATACATCTGAGTGCATTCAAAAATGAAGTTTTACAGATCTTCGGAAGAACAAGAAGATTCATGGTAAGAAATACCTTACAAGAAGAAGGTATTCAAAACCGTAAATACAGGAATCACGCGAACATCTGAAGAATAGATGGACGTAATCCACAAAAATGAGCATTATTTTGAGATTGGGGCATGTTACCCAATCAACATGTTATTTTGAAAAATAATGAGAAAATGATTTCCATAGTTTCTCATTCAATCTTTTCTAAAAATGAAATTGTTGAAAAGTAAGAAAACGATTTCCTTAGTTTTTTTACTTAGTAAACTATTTCCCTCATCTGTATGTCCTACAGTGCATGATGTTTCCAAAAAGCCTTCGGGAGCTTTTTGATGTTTTCAAAACCTTAGGGTCATCTGTAAGTCCTTCAGTGCATGATGTTTCCAAAAAGCCTTCGGGAGCTTTTTGATGTTTTCAAAGCCTTCGGGTCATCTGTAAGTCCTTCAGTGCATGATGTTTCCAAAAAGCCTTCGGGAGCTTTTTGATGTTTTCAAAGCCTTAGGGTCATCTGTAAGTCCTTCAGTGCATGATGTTTCCAAAAAGCCTTCGGGAGCTTTTTGATGTTTTCAAAGCCTCAGGGTCATCTGTAAGTCCTTCAGTGCATGATGTTTCCAAAAAGCCTTCGGGAGCTTTTTGATCTTTTCAAAGCCTTAGGGTCATCTGTAAGTCCTTCAGTGCATGATGTTTCCAAAAAGCCTTCGGGAGCTTTTTGATGTTTTCAAAGCCTTAGGGTCATCTGTAAGTCCTTCAGTGCATGATGTTTCCAAAAAGCCTTCAGGAGCTTTTTGATGTTTTCAAAGCCTTCGGGTCATCTATAAGCCCTTCAGTGCATGATGTTTTCAAACATTTCCATCCTGCTCAAAAGAAGCCAAATGAAAAAATTATTGTCTTTTTCGTCTTTGCTCTATTCTTGTTAACACAAGGATGAGCAAAGAGGGGCAGCTGTAGACATCATTTTTTTCATTTAAATTTTATTATTATTATTAAATTTATTATTACTAAATATTATTATTATTAATATATATATATATATATTACAAGCCCAAAGGACCCGGAGGCCCGTTTTACAAATATGGAGGCCCGGTTATCAAATCCCAAACCCAAATGGAAACCCTGAATTGATTTGGGGTTTTAGCTAGGGTTTTCAAACCCTAGCCCCCAGCCGCCTCCAAGATTCCAGAAGGCCAGCCGCCGTCAACATCATCAGCCGTTGGATCTGGCAAGATCCAACGGCCCAAAAGGGTTCCAGATTGAAAACCCTAGGGTTTCTAACCCTAGCAGCCAGCCGTTTCCAGATGCTTCCAGCCGCCTCTGATGATTCCAGGTGGTCCAACAGCTGCTGCCGATACTCCAGAACGTCACGAAGCAACCCACGTCGAGCCCTATGGTGAGTCACCACCATAGCTATGGTGACTCACCGGGCCTTTTATCCTTTGGACCGGTCTGAAGCCATCACCGGTGGTGGCTATAAAAGCCACCGTCCCCTGCAAGAAAAAGAAGAGGACAACCAGAAAACGGGAGACAACAACACCAACAGCAAGCAATCCAACCACCGTAAAACACCAAAATAACGAGATAAAAATCGAAAGAAATCTTACCGAGGAAAGCCACACCACCACCGGAGTAACCACACGTATCCACGCTCCACAACAAACCTTCGAAAACCGAAGGTATTTTTTATAGATTTGCTCCGATTGAGAGCTTTTTAAGGTAAACAAATACCGGAATCGTCATTAGGACGATCCGATCTACGTTGTGGTATAAAGTTTTATTTTCCGGCCACCGGAGGCGGTGGCCGGCGGTGAGGTTGGCGGTGGCTATCGGCGCCAGAATTCCCTCCGGTGAGGGAATTAAGAGAAAAGGAAGAGAGAGCTTTTTCTCTCGTTTTTGAGAGAAGAAGAAGAAGAGAACAATGAGGCTGCTGGCCCTTCGGGCCAGCTATGAAGGGGTATATATACCCCTTCCCGAACGACGTCGTTTTGGGAAGGGGTATATGCGTAATTTACATGTATGGCTAAACCCCTTCCGTAGCCATCTAAGTTTTGTAATTATTCATTTTAGTCACTAAAACTAATTTCTGAATGTTCTAATTCAGTATTCGAATTTTATTTTATTATGTTTTAGTCCTTACCAGTATTAAATAATATATTTAGGATAAATATCACATTTAGTCCCTAATAATTTTAATAATTCTATTTTAATCACCTATTAAATAATTAATGCCTAATTATACTACTAGTATTTATATTTTATGATAATTCTAACCATGTCTCTTAAATATTTATATTTTATAATTTGATCACTAAATTTTATATAATCTTAATTTTAACTATAAGTCTTATTATTTTTACATTTTAGGTTCATATATTTATGAATATAATCCAATAGTTTTAATATTATTACTTTTGTTTTCTTTCATTTTAATTATTATTATTTTATTTTATTATTACTTTTGATATATGTTTAAATTATTATCTTCATGATTATTTTATTATTATTATTAAGTTATAAAAATATATATAATATTTATTTATTTATTCTATTTGTTTATTAAATAAAAATCCTATTTATAAATTTAATTTTATAAATTACTTTTAAGAAAAATAAAATATTTGATATATTTTTTTTTAATATCAAAGGAAAGAACTGTCTTAAAACACCTAGAAGCTCTTTTCTGATATTTCAAAATAAATAAATATCTTATTTATATAAATTAATAAATTTACTTAAAATTATAGTAATAAATTTAAATTAAATATATTTTGAATTTTTGAATTTCTAATAATAGAGACAATTTTTAATTAAAAAGTACTAATTTTGGGCGTTGTAGGGGTGCTAATCCTTCCCTAAACGTAACCGACCACGAATCCATTTTTATTATTAAAAAGAACGAATTTTTGGTTAAAACGCATATCAGTTTATCTTTTAATTGATGTTTTCTTAAAAACTCTTTTAAAAGATATTTTTTAGGTATTCGACCTACCTGACCCAAAAGGCCGATGGCGACTCCCAAATTATTTTCAAAATCATTTATTCACATCACTTTTCCCGTCAAGTAAATATTTCGTGCCCGGACGAAAACGGGTTACGACAGTCTTCATCGTTAAAAAGGAAGCTTTGTCCCTAATATTGTTGTTTTAATATATAGTTATATCAAACACATTAAATAATTTTAGTGATTAAATGAAATATTATTCTTTTTAGATGTCTTAGATCCGAATAAGTACGTCTGTTGGGTGTATGTGCTTTATTAATTAATTAAGAAAATTATAAATATATATTACTTTTTAATCACTCCATATTATTTCAAAAATAATATACAATTATATGTAAACAAATATATATAACACTAATGAATTCCTTGAACGGTCTTGGTGGAAAAACTATTATTATTTTTCGATAATCCGAGTTGGTGGGAATAGTACTTGGCATGGGCAAAGTACTAGTACAATACTGGCCACGGACATCAGCATGAATGACTTCTTTTCTAGCTTTGTATAGGCGTGAACCACCACCATCCTCAACTTCTTAGAAGGAAATTCTTGTAATTCTTAGATAGATCGTGACTTGGAAGAACGTGATGAGTTGCTTCGGGTATTGAAACATAATTTAGTTCAAGCATATGGACATATGAAAAATCAGACGGATAAGCATTGACGCGAACTGGAACTAGAGGAAGGTAGCTGGGCGCTTGTGCGCTTGCAACCATATAGACAATTGTTGTTACGTTTAAGGAGAAACCAGAAGCTTGGTCCACGATTCTTTAGCCCTTATCGAATTGTAAAACACATTGGTCATGTGGCCTACAAACTGAAACCACCGGATTCCACCCACATCCATCCCATATAAAGGACAACCTCTTCAATAAATCACTCCTTTGCTTAAGAAAACATGTATGCTTTTTCTATTTACCTTGCCTCATTTGAACCTATGGTTGAAGAAACCGGACGGTGGTTGAACCACTTTTGAACTCCTATTCGCGGTTCAGTCGATTTTATCCAAATGGTACCATCACTTTAAAAATGTATAATTAATAATTTTATTAAGAACATTAAAAAAGAGAGAAAATGATAAAAAAAAGTTATAAATAATATATTATTTTTTTACTATTTTTCATTCTCGAATTCAAATATTAACCGGTTCTTTAATTTTCCGATTCAATCTATACATTTGAACCGACAAACCAAGTGATTCTCCATGTGGATTGATCTGGTCTGTTTTCTACAACATTATTTAAACCCATGGCTATGGAGAAGGAAACATCCTTATCAGAAAACAAAGACCAAAACTTGTTTACCCATGTATGGGCTCTTTCATATGCATGCGTAATATGAATTTCTTCCTTTGAAATGTCAAGCTTTTTTATTTTATAGTTTGAAGAATTCGTCAGCCAATGATTTTTTATAAGGTTAATACGTAAAACAGTCATAAAACCACAATTGATTTGGTATATAAAATAAAGTAATTCCCAATTGCAGCATATAAACGTGTAGTCGGCCACCATGTTGTCCTATTAAAGTTGTTTTTATGACCTCGTAAAACCCTAAATTACAAACAAAGACAAACTCAAAGATAATGTTTTAATACTATTCAAGTTATATTTATGGCTATAAATAGGCTAATAACATGTGCTAATTTCACCAATCATTCAACATAATTGCTCTTTAGCTATCGAGTAATCATATACAGTGATCATGGGTTCCCAATCTCTTTCTTTCTTCTCAATCACCCTCCTCCTTTTCGTAATGATTCAGGCTGTTTTTGCAGATTTGAAACACAAAAGCACCTCTCCTTTTGAGTATCTTCAGCACCTTCACGGATGTCATAAGGGGGAAAACGTCAAAGACATACATAAACTCAAAAAATACCTGGAAAAGTTTGGGTATCTGAGTTATAAGAACAAGACTCATGTCGATGACGATGACTTCGATGAGTTGCTGGAATCTGCCGTTAGAACTTATCAGTTGAATTATAATATGAAAGCAACCGGAAGTTTGGATGCCAATACCTTATCGAAGATGATGAGACCACGATGCTCGGTTGCGGATATCGTAAATGGAACTTCAAGGATGCGATCCAGCCGAAAAAGGCACCACCATTCAGGATCAAAATTGTTCCACACGGTGTCACATTATTCGTTTTTTGACGGACAACCGAGATGGCCGGCTTCCAAGTACAGCCTGACTTTTGCATTTCTTCCGGGGACTCGAGCGGACGCGATTAACCCGGTTTCGAGAGCTTTCCAAACATGGGCTGAAAACACACATTTCAGGTTTTCAAGGACTGAGGACTATGTAAATGCTGATATAAGAGTAAGCTTTGAAAGTGGGGAGCATGGAGATGGGTCCTCTTTCGATGGACCGGGTGGAACCTTGGCTCATGCTTTTGCACCAACTAATGGGACGTTCCATTACGATGCAGATGAAGAATGGTCTGTGATAGCAAACCCAGGTGCGTATCATTTGGAGACTCTGGCATTGCATGAAATCGGACACCTTCTTGGTTTAGGGCACAGTTCCATTGAAGGGGCCATCATGTATCCCACTTTCAGCCTTGGGGAAACCAAGGGTTTGCATGGGGATGATATTCAAGGAGTCAACGCTTTATATAATCTTTGAACAACTATTATACGTATATTACTGTTGTAATTGTTTTAGCTAAAATTTGTTTTATTGTTGGATCATATAAAGTTTGAATAAAAAAGAGAGAATAAATTATTTGTTTTACTTGCTTGCCCCTGGCTCATCTTGCTAAAAATGCATTTTCAATAGTCTAGGAATTCCATGACAAATATATGTATCGTGGCATCAAAATTGTCATGCCTAACACTACAACAAAATAGGTTTTAGCGGCGTTTTTAAGCGCCGCTAAAAACCTTTGTACGCAAAAACAAATGCCACTGAAAGCGCCACTAAAAGCGCCATTGAAACAAACGCCGCTAAAAGTTATGATATTTAAATACCGCTATTTATCTATTTTTTGTGGCATTTTATCCCAAAAACGCCGCTAAATGTTCTGACATATAGTGGCGATTGTTCCAAAAAATGATGGTAAATGTTATGTCATATAGTGACGTTTGTGAACGTAAAACGCTGCTATTGACTATCTATATAGTGGCGTTTTCTGTATAAATGACGCAAAAGATCTCGAACTTTTGTGGCGTTTTTCAAAAACACTGGTATTGACTATGTATTTAGTGGCATTTTTTATACAAACACCGCGAATTAAAACTAATTTTTTCAAATGCTATTTTCTACTCTTTTGTTACCCAAATTTAAAATTTTAACCTGCAACATTATCCAATAAACTTGACATCCATAACAAGAAACTTGAAATCCATTGTAATAAATCAAAGTTTACATTAAAGTAAAATATAATGTAGTTCAATATTGTTAACTAGAATAAACAATAATAACACCTAGGATGGTGGACTATGTGGTACACCATCATCTAATTCAGATGCAGCTGAAGATGATGCTCGGCCTGAGCAATTCTTTACTTCATCTCTAAGTCGCTGCAGTCGACCCTTGCAAATGGAGATGGCCTGTTAAAGTTAACTAATATTAAATAGTTTATTTAATCTAAATTCAGGCTGCCATCGAAGCTTGGGCTGCTTTATACACTGCAAAGATAAAAACAAAACATAAATGCTACGCTGTTACGATTCATTATCTCTCTCGAAAGACCATGCATCAGTCACTAGTGTTTGATATACGAGTTTCAAACCTCTATGGATTTCTTCAAATACAAGAAAAATCTTATAAAAATTCGATCATACAAGTGTTGGATACACGCTCTGTAACACCCCCAACCCGTATCCGACCCGAATATGAGTTCGAGGTGTCACATCAACATTTCAAATCGTTTACTTTTACAAAATGGAGGAAAAATTTAAAAATACTTAATAATTTACATATATCAACTCAAACTATTTACAAAAACTGTTCAGAGCTCATACATTTTAATTCTTTAAATACATGCCAATAATATAATACAACAAGAAAACCTACTGTTAAATCTCCTAATCTTTGCAGAAGTTATGTTGTCCCCTCTGAATAGCTTCTCCGTGGAATTTCTCAAATCCTACGTGTGAAACACTCACACACTAAGTCATAGACTTAGTGAGACATGTAAATACATAATGTAAACTATAACTAACTAACAAATGCATGTACATAATTTTGTAACACAACACCATGCTTGTATACATACATAAATCATCATTAACATGATTATCATTACTTATATTATTATCACTAATTCTTTTTTATCATTTGAGCATATACTTGGCATTTCTATACACATCATCGAACACATATGTCTTTTCACAAAAGAGCACATATAATATCATGACAATTGATTTATTTATTCTCTTTAAAGCCCATGTATACTTATGAGAACTTAAGGTATGTGAGTACATAGAGGTTGTGCACATATGTTGTCACCACATCTCATATAATTCCCACTAGGGGTGCGTAGATTTGTCCCGAAGGACCACTATGTCCCGAAGGACCACATATCACATATGTCCCGAAGGACCACATAGAACCCTTGACTCTTGGCATGCCAACTATACCCCTAGCTCTCATAACACGTAACATGGGCATTATTAATTATATTATTCACACATTCTCATATTCATATCACATAGGCATATAACTCATAACTCTTTATCACATATCATGTAATATTCTTATAGAGTATCATATCTTCTTATCATGTATTTCATATCACATGTTCTTGTTTTCATATGGTCACATAGCTCATGTCACTTAATATCTTATGTTCACATATCATATATATATCATGTAACATTCTAATAGAGTCACATCATTTATCACACATACATACATTCACATAAACCACATATGTATATCACTTAACATCTAGACATATGCCTTCATTCCTATACATCTAACATCATATCACTACATGCTTATGTTCCCGTATACATATAGCCTAAAATCAGAATTAGACTCATCACAAGTCTTAATTCCCTTACGTAACCAAATCTTAAAATCATGTACTCACTTGGGTCTCAATTGACACTACCGAGCTCTTGTTCTATTATGCGAATCTTACTCTGACGACCTATTCGAACTTTGCTTTCGATCAAATATCTACATGAATATAGTCCAATGAATATCGGGATTGAATTAATCAATAATATTCAAACCAAAGCAAACTAAATAAAACACTACTTCCTTTTTTCCAACCTAAGTAGTATTGGTACTACCCTCACAGTACTGATACTTCTACTCTAGGGTACTGATACCCTACCCAGGTATCGATACCAAAATTAGCTTCGACGTTCCCTGGTATTGATACCCTCTACATTGGTATCGATACTCCTTCCTTATGGTATCGATATTGTTCATACAAGTATTAATACCCCATACATAAATTCCTTATAATTTACCTGGTAGTATCGGTACCTACTCAATCAGTACCGATACTACAAACCCAGAATTCAATCTTTAACCCAAAAATTCAACACTTTACCCCCTAAACTCTACCTGTTTGCCTCTCCTCATACCTTAAAACTTATCTATACATACTTAAACCCTCTTTTAACACTATAACACTTCATTATCTTCAATATCTCACTATAACTCTTAAACCAAAGAATTTCATCAAACTTTACATGTGTTCTAAATTCATTTCTAATGCTTTAGACTTATTAATCCTTCTTATGACAAGTCAAATTCATAATTAAAACTTCAAAAACCTCTTCATTCTAACAATTTATTTATTCACCCTGTTTACAATTTCCTTTCTAATTCTCTCTTCTTGTTGTTTTGATCTTATATAAGCTTTCCTTAAGCTTATATAACACTCAAAGAATAAAACCCAACTTAAAATTCAAGAATTAACCATCTAAATTAAAACTCACCTTTGAAGTTTGAGCACACGGGAAGAAGAAAGCAAGAAGAAAAAGAGCTTTCAGATAACTCTCCAAAACCCACGTGTTTAACTCTTATTAAGAAGAAAAATATCCTTTAAGAGAAAAAGACCATAATACCCTTTCAATCTTTCCATTATTACCATTTAATCCAATATTGAAATATTCACATTTAAGTACTTGAACTTTTTAATTTTTCTAAATTGATCCTTAAATTTAAAAAATTTCCATTTTAGTCACCAACCCTGATTTCGATATGTTACACACTCGAACCCGATACTCAGACTAAAGTTTAAATATGTAATATTTATACATAAAAAGGAGGCATAACAACGAAAGAAATAAGATTTACATAAAGAAAAAGGGATTCTCACGATTTGTTTTTTCTTTTGTTAGAAGGGACAAGAACTTGGAAGTTGTTGTGAATATTGCAGTATATGCCTTGGTTAGGATCTCCTTATATCTGATCTTGAACGCCGATAAGAGCAAGATTTCAATGGTTTTATCACCAACCATATCATATGAAAACGGAAATTAGTTATTGAGAATTCACTTTAAATATATTATTTCTACTTTTCATTTTTCTTAAACTACTCTACCTAACAACTATATCCTACACACATTAAAACATGTATATCGAAATATAATCCTTTGTACTTATAAGACCTACTAGCTAGAGAGCCAAGGGATGGACTAGGAGCACATGTAACACCCTTAACCCATATATGTCTCAGTATACGAGTCAAATATGTCACATCAACTTGTAAAACATTTACTAAACTGAAATTTGTCTAAAATTTTGATTTAATTAAAAACACTTCTATTTTAACTTTAAAATATGTTTTATGAATATCTTAACTTATAAATAAATTCTTTGTCGTAGAAAAATAAATCCATTTGCTAATCAATAATTTTACCAAATCATACCTTTTCGTAAAATCTTTTTAAAAACATAATAATATAACTATTCTTTTCATGCATAAATATCGATAAAACTATACTACAAAAATAAACTAAAGTAGTTCTAGTTTACTATTACAAACCATTTAAAGATAAATACGATAAATATAACTATTGACATAATTATGCATGCCACTAAAAGTTAAAAGTAACATTGTAGATGTCTTACTGATATTGATGATATGTATGTCTTTCCAAAAAGATGCTTCGGTGGCTCCTTACTACTCGTACTTATCCTTAATCGAACCTACGCATGAAAATCATCACTTGCTAAGTATAACTTAGTGAGGTAGTAATAATTTAAGGTGAGAAAAATCTAAAAATGTCATAAACATAAATAAAATAATTCAAATTAAAATATTAAACTGTCAAACCTACTTTTCCAAGTCGATTTCTTCACTGAGACCTGAAATTTCTTTTAAATCATGAACTCGTGAATATTCTGATAAATAATATCTGATAAAATAAGCATATCATGCTTTCTGTCAACTAGAAATCATTCACAACTTGCATATTCATTTTCATAACCCAATACATATTTATGAGAACATAAGATACGTGAGTAAGGTGCGCACTATGCACAACACGGTGCAAATCGTAACTGATACTGAGATATGATACACTTCAGTGCAATCATAACCTGAACACCAACAGTGCTAGACATTGGTACACGAATGTACCAAAGCTGATATGATAACATTGATACACAAATGTAACAAATATGATAATGAATAAGTACTCAACTAATGGCATGCCAAGTGTACCAATAATTCTCATTA